AAAACATTTAAATAGATTTATTTTTCAAGTGTTTACATAAGCCATGGACCAATTTGTTTTAAACGCTGAGTTGAAGAACTGCAAAGACATATATACATGTATGTTTAAGGCCATCAGAAAATTTAAATCTTGACAATTAACTAAAATGTTATTCTGAAGACTTATTTTATGTGGTAGATGCATTATTAAAATTTATCCTAAAATGGAATAGCTTCAAAAAAAGGAAATACATTTTCATTTAATAAAAGTCTAATGGAGAATTACTAAAATTTATCTTGATAGCAAAATTTCAGGTCTACTCTTGATCCGCTATTGGGTATTTGAGCACATTTTACAGAAAGGAGAAATTGGCCACCATAGTTGGAACCGAGCTAGTTACACCCATCTGATAATTTTATGAACATTAAAAGGAGGATGGGGGGGAGGCACAACACAACCAAGCTTTTAAAATTAATGGGTTAATAACTGCAGCAAGAGCCAAGAGCAATAAATTTAATTCACAACAAAATGTCAAGTTAGGCTGAAGCTTTCCTAGTAACAGTTCTCTTAAGTGCCGCTCAAACTGGCTTTGGGATGTGGATTTTGGGAAACAGATTTCCTTCCCTCCATTAAGGCTAGATCTACAGAGCCACAAGTAATTTTAATGGCATTCTCTTCAAAACACCTAAGAAAGTGGTTAACAGAATAGCACCTCTTCCCTTAGATAAACCATTTAGAACACTATTTTCTCATCAGAGACTGCCATACCACACCAAAATTCAACAAAGCCCGGTTTCTGAAACACTGCAGGAACAGAGGCAGAAATCCAAGGTGCTGTGTTCAAGTTTTCATAGAAGCATATGAGGGTCAGGGGCTTGCTTCCAGAGAGGAAGAGACATTAGGTTTGTTTAACAGTCTACTACAACACAGATGTTTTCCTTCCCTTTGATGTCAAATTATTTGAATGCAATCTCAAATCCTAAGTAGCCAGGTGTAGTGGTTCTCTGAAGCATGGAACCTTTCCTCTTGGAAAATTTACTGACTGGGATGAAAAATACTGGAATGTTAGGTTCTGCCACAGAAGAGAAGACAGCCAAGATTAGTGAGACCAAACTCTCAGATGCTGATCTGTGATGGAACAAAGAAATTTCAATAAATTTTGTCACTTAAACAGAATTACAAGGAAAGTACACAATTTTGCAATGTCTGAGTTTCCAGTAAAGTTTCAGACAATAACGATATTTAAACGCAGTATTTAAATAACGAAATACTCTTATGTCTAAATTGAAGAGCAGAGTTTTATTGTTCGAGATGATTTCCTGGTTGCTCTTCAGATGAGGCACCTACACACCCCATCTGTATAACCTGGTTGGTGCCCTCTCAAGGGATTAAAAACCTTCCTAGTCCCATCCATATTCAATGCAGATGTAATACTGGGAAAACGGGTGCATGGGTTGAAAGACTAAAACATACCATCTACTTCATACAGTCGCAAACCTCAACTCCAGCTACAAATCTGTTATCTTCAACTACCCGTTTCAATACTTTGCATACACTTTAATCAAGAATAGTTTTTGTATGAGCAAGAAGGATATTTTTCAAGATGTGCCCAGCAGCCTCGCTAATGGGGCTGGTTAATGAGCAGTGTTCTCGTGTCCCTTTGTATCCATGGGAGACTTGGGATGGGAGAAAACTGAAGAACAGAGTTTCGTCCACTGAGCCCAAACACTTGTATCTCAGAGGTGCATTTGTAACGAATGGTTTCTTGCAAAGAAGAGGTAAGAAAAGTCAACTACTCAGCTTAGGTAGTGCCAGAACCTCAAAAAAAAGAATAGGAAGAGCAAGATTTTTCTGACCAATTGGCTTTGTATCTTATTCTGCTGGACCACAAAGGTTTTGCCCTATTTGCTGTTAAACATAGGAAATTTAGCCACTTTTTCAATATAATTTATCATCTTTTCAGTATTCACTTAGAGTTAAGCCTTTCCAGTGACTTTTTTTCTCCCCAAAGTGGTTACTCAAACACCATTTGGGGGAAAGATGCTTGACCCATTCTCCAAAGACACATTACGAAGGTAACCTGTAACCCAATAAAAGAACCTAACAAATAAGGTCAGCAGGACATTTTGAGAAGATAGATTTTTAAGGTCACAAAGTTCTCTGAAAGTTCTAAAGCCCCAGCAGTATACAGTAACTGGCTATTAACAAGAAGTCAGTGTTACTCTTCCAACTACTCTGGATGATGGAATGCTTTTGAGACTGCTATACACAAAAGACAGTATCTTGGAAAGAAAACAGGGGTTAAATCTAGCACTCCCTCCACAGCAAAATGCAAGTCATTTTGGTGTTCTCTAAAACAATAGCCTGTATACAGGGAGAACATAGAAGTAAAACGTAGGACAACATTGACCTTAGGTATGAGACAAGAGCTCATTATTTTGGAGTCAAATAAGTTGTGGGATGTCTGGGAAGCATCCAAGTTTCCCAGACAAAGAAACATTAGGTAGAAGTATCTGGAAACTTGAGTGATTTACTCCAGAATCCTTGTTATTACAACCAAGACAAAATAATACACTGAAGCTAGCAGTTTGTTCTCAACACATACCATGTACATTATCACAGCCTAGCAGTATTAGATAATGAAGCCCCTGCCAAAACAACAATCTCTCTTCACAGTAGCTGTATATGCAAGAAGGCAGTCATAACTAGTCTGTTATGATCCCAAAAGACCGGTTCACCGAAGAATCAAGTAAAACCACCAAAGAGTGCAACTGATGTATCTACGTACAGGCTCAGAAGTAGCACTTTGTTCTGCTTGCTCACACTTCCCAACCACAGGCATCGGCCCGAGTTGTCCTAAAGCAGCATGGAACTAGAATAAACACAGCTTGCCCCCCGGCATCCAGAAAAGGGCTCTGACCAGAACCAGCCCCTAACTGCCACCATTTTGCCTCAATATGATAACTTTTCATAATGGTCTTTGTTCAAAATATCATCTTTTTCAAGACATACCTAGGAGTGCTTGTGATCTGGATGCAACTCCAGCCTAGAGCTAGGTTATGGAGTGAGGATACTTAAAAGCTCCTCTGAACAGGCCAGAAAACCAGTTCCTGCATCTATGTGCCATACTGCGACTCAAGCCAATTTTCCAGTACAGTGTTTATTAGACGCACGTATTGAGATTAAGGGAGTCAGTGCAAATTCCCAGATCAAACACATTTTACGTACTAGTTTGACGGTTATAACACATCTCCCTCTATCAGCATACAGTAGAGCCATTACTCTAAAGACCATTTGCATACATGAAAAGTCTCACAAAGTTGCATCTCAATAAGAGGCCTGTCAACTACCCAATTTTTAATCAATAAATTTAAGTTGTAAAAAACCCATAAAACCCAAACCCAGAACCTTAAGTGGAATGTTCCGATCTATTCAGTGGTCTTTAATTCAGTATGCTGCAAGTTTACTGTCAAACTACAATTAGCTATTTAAGAAGCATTTGGTGTGCAACGGAAAAAGCTGAAGAGCTTGTGTTCTACCAACCATTTTAAAAGTAAGCCGATGCACAGGAAAATAAAATAAAAAATTTCACTGTTTTCCTACATCAGTCCAACATTAAAAGGTTTGTATTTTTATTTTTTCCAGTTAAAAAACAGTTGGGACTATTATCTCAGTAACAGCTTCCTAAAAAGACAGAACAGCAACTTCTCACCAGACTGCAGTTTATATTGTTATACTGGTACGGAATGTTTCAAGGCCTTGACTAAAACCACTGCTTCTAGCCAGCGGCACTGTTTCAAGATGTCTGGTTTGTAATATCATCTTCACAAGCTTATCACTTCTCTCAGTAAAAACATTTCTCATTTGTGCTCTTCACACAGAACATGGAAAAGTGGTATCACCACCGATTTGTATGGAGTTTCACATTATTCCACAATGAAGTCAAAATGTCTGACAAGTTCTGAAAGTTCAGTTGTGATACAAAGTAGAAATGACCCTCTGAGTGAAACCGACCTTCAGTTCTGTACATAACAGTTAAACAATGTGTAGCTGTTCCTTAAATTCACCTTTCCACAGGTAGGAATTATTTGATGAGCAATACTTAACATACATAGCACTTTTCTTCTTGCACGTGCTATAGAATGCAACAGAACTACCAACACCTCTATGGAGGCAGCTGTCAATATATTCTCCCCACTGCAGAGAGTGTGCATGTGCGCAAAAGGTAGGCACAAGTGATTTTCCAAAGATTATACCACAGGTATGCAGTAAAACTTGAATAAGACTTGGTATTTTCCAGCTCCTAGTCTTATGCCATTTCTTTTATACATTGCTGCCTTGATGAAAAGGAAGTCCATAAAAAGAAAAGTTTCCCAGAAGAAGTCACAACTATTAGAATAAAATCAGAAAAAAACAGGAGGAGGGTTTGCATCTATTCAGGAAAAGGGAATCTACTGGGGAAAAAAAAGCCAAGCAAACAACCTTATGAAATGTCACCCCATGACGTTAAATTTGTTTCAGTCGTTGAAAACCAGTGTTCCAGAATACAATTTTTATAAACATGTTTTATTTGTCTTGCTTATACCATTAGAGCTGTAACTGCTGGCTGTCATTTCCCTTAAAAGGGGAAATCAATTCAAACACATACTGGTGCTTTTCAAAAGATAGCAATTAAAAGGGCAGCAGCAGCGGGCATTTGAGATTTCTTAAAACCTTCAAGGCTGCAGGAAAGACAAAAGGACATGTGACCAAAAGTGTTATGATTATCCATTAGAGCTTTCCATCAGTACCGGCATCAGTTATTTAGGTGATAATACAGCAAGGTCAAGTATTAGTGACAGACAATGTGCAAGTCATAAGGAATGATAGAGAATACCAATCCTTACAAAAGTCATTGCTATCAAAGAAACTTTAAAAGTGTTTCAAAGAGATATCTAAATATTTCACATCAAATATACAGTGGCCATCCAGATTATATCTCACATTTGTTGCAAAATTTTGTTGAAGTGCCAAATCAAAGCTTTTTTTTCTTCTTTAAAAAAAAATAATAAAATTACACAATTACATTAGCAGTTACGCAAGTGATCTTAAATCCTTAGCCACAGTAGACAGGGCCTTGGTGATGAGGGATGCTGTAGCTAAGGGTGCTGCTTCTTTGTCAAAAACTGGCTATAAGCCTATTAGTCTATTGAGGGAAATACACATCGCTACGCATCTTTAACTGTTCAGTGCTTCAATTTAGTAAGAAAAAGCTGAAATGCAGTTGCTCTACACCAAGCCACACTTCACCTTTTCCATCCTTTCATGGGAATATTAAGTTTTGTCAACTACCAGAGTAAATCTTTACGAATTTGCAGATTTTATCCAAATTTGTTACATCACTTTTTAATGTCAGAAGCAAGTCTTTACTTTTTCCTGCCACTTCAGTTAACCACGGAGATTGGATCACCCTGAAAATTGCCTTTTTTGCTTTACTCTTAGCAAGGGTGAGGAATCTGAATCTCATGTGCAAGGCTCAAGATGATGCTTAGGACAGAACATGCAGAGTAAACGTTTCGATCCTTTCCATATCCAGGTAACATAAAGCTGGCAACTGTAGTCCTGTCATTATGGGTAATGAAAATAGTCCCTTTACAACAAACTTCCTGTAAGGGAGAACAAATAGATAATAACTCTTCTGGTAACATGTATAGTACACTGGCCAGTGTGTTTTTGGCGTTTAATGTAATCCTGTGAATTTGTTTAATTCACTTGCTGAGCATTCATTTGAGGCATCCCTCTGTTTGGTCTTGGGGGCCCTCCACGACCTAGAAAACACAAAAAGGTACTTGAGTTATGCATGAAGTCAGGTTATTTTAAAAAAAATTCCTGAAAGCTCTGGTCTAAACTGGGTTAAAACTCCCAGGTGTATATCCAGACTATACATCATTCTAAAAGCCCCTTCAAATCAAAACTCAGCAGTATATAACCTGTCTTTACAGTTTTCAGCTTAATCCCATCACTTTTTTTTTCCCAGAACTACAAAGTTGTTATCGCTTCAAGTAAAAAATGGAAATTAAAAAAAAAATCACGAAGATATGAACCTAAGACTAAAATTAGATTGGTTGCTTTTTAAATCCAGAACTCCACAAGTTGTATCAAAAACTTCCATTCAGCCCCAAAATAAATTAATTATTCATTACTCGGTAATTACCTCTAGGAGCTCCCCGAGGTCCACTTTGTCCAGAGCCACGTTTGAAATTCTGTTGATATCCATCCTGAAGCAAAGAAATGAAAAAATTTGACATAAAACCCAAGCATTTTGTTATGTTTCAGGAAGCTATTAATTGCCAATAAAATAAGGAGCTTTTAAAACAACATGCACTGACAAAACACCTGTGACTTCAACATAGAGCATTTTATGAGTTTAAACCAATCTTAGAAAAATAAATTCTTACTCCTACTAGTACCTAGATGGTCCTAGTCCTAGTTACTAGACTATTTCCTTTAGAGATCAATCAGCCAAACAGAACACATTTCCCAATTATAAGCAGCCATTTAATATTCTGCTATTTCTCAGTATCTGTTTAGTACCTGAAACTTCTGTCTTCACTAGTAATAAAAAAAAAGTCCTCAGAAAAGTTTTCACTAATAGATTTGAGTGCTTTTGTTGTCACGTAATTTTTTCTTATACTTCTAGATCACCACAACATAATGGTAGCTTACCCGCTGGTAGTTTGAATAATCCCGAGGAGCATTAAACTGGGGCTGCGTATAACCACTGTTTGGAGTGTTGGAAAAGGAAGGACGGTAGCCATCATATCCTCCTAAGGAACAAGGTACAAATCTTTCACTTGGAAATGATAACCTATTATGTTATTGCTTTTTTTTATCTGGTAGCATAACAACATTTTACCTAAAACTGACGTAAAAAAAACCACCTTTAGTAAGTACTGTTTACCTGCAAGTCAAGCAAATGTTTGCAACATCAGTGCTAATACTACTACAAGAAACAAGAATGAACACCTAGTAAGAACTGGGAGGAGACAGCAATTCAATGCATTTCTCTTGTAATTTGAGGTTTGATTTACGTAACATTCAATCCAGAGCTAAATGTAATACTAGGATCTAAATGTAACAGCTGCGACCTGCAAGGCCGCAACAGCCAACTCAAGCAAGCTTTTCCTGAGCCAAGATTCTTCTGAGTGCTGGAACCATGTCCAAGTATGGCTCCAGTCCCAACGGTCTTAACACCTGGAATCCACATCAATTTTTAGCAGATAAGTAGTGACCGCTGAGCTCCCTACTGCAGTCAATCATTTTTGTTATACAGGTTTCTCCTCTACTCTCCATCCACACGAGAGGAAGAGAACATGGCAAAAGCACACAGCACTGTATCCATCAGTCTAATCCCTTAACACCTGACAAGGACACCATCACTCTGCCCCATTCTAACATACCCATCTTTCTAACACTGACACCACCTCTCTTATTTATCCAGAATTACAGTATAATTCCTCCGCTCCTGTTAATTCCCTCAAAGTAATGACTTTTGGACTTCTTTGTTCTTGTATTTCTATACTATCCAGCCTATTCTCAAGATGAAGAAACATGGAACTCTTTAAAATACACTGCTTCTACCATAACTGGAAATAAAGCATTTTTGAAATACCAGCTGGCATCTGAATTCCTCACTCGATGGTTGTGAAATTCTGATGGATATTTCCATGTTTGCTTATACTTGCAGTAGATGCCTTATCAAACTAACACTAAGCTGTCAGCACAGAACAGAAAAAAAAAAGTTTCATTTGCATCCTAGTAGGAAGCCTCACCAAACACCTAAAATACCAATTGCTTAAGTTAGCTAACACAAAAGGAATTTTTACTACAAGTTTTTACAGAGATACTACTACATTATAAAAACAAGAGTATGTCAGTTTAACACTTGCTATCTTAACATGGTGTTTCCAGAAAGTAAGTAAAAGTCAAATGAGAGAGTTTAATAAAGCTGTTTACCTCTAAATCCATTTGCCGGTCCCCTGTAACCGTTCATTAACCCACGAGCCCCACGTGATCCACCACGAGACACTCCTCGGCTGTTGTAATAAGGCTGACTGTTACGTGGAAATCCAGTATTCTGCTGGGGAGGTTGCTGGTGGTTACCCGCCACTTGATGGGTCTGGTCCGGGGAACCATGGTAAGTACCAACCACTATATTGGAAGTAGGGCGAAAAAAAAATGATGTAAGTTTGTGTTTATGTTCCCACACGTACTCTCTTCAAACTCAACATTCAAAGCTTTGAAATACCATTGAACGCCCACCCATTCAAAGAAAAATAAACTGCAGAATTAAGTATCAAGTTTAGTAGTCAGATATACCACAATATTTCTGGATTACTTATCCAGAAACAGAAGAGTTCATTTGAGTCAGTGTCAAGAAGTCTCTAAGTTCAGCAACAAGTATTCCTAATGCAGGTACAGTTTTCCTGTCCTATTTCAAATCCTTTAAAAATCAGCAACACACACTCTGGAAAACACAATATAATCTATAACTGCCTCCTCTCTGAACTGGCAGAGAGCCACCAAGAAATCTTTGCTTTCACCAACTAAATCCTGCCTGTTAGGTGTAGCTGTGCTGACTCAGGTGAGATTGATGGGAATATTTAAACAGAGCTGCCGTTCTGACTGTACAGGCTAGGGGATTCGTTCTTTCTATGGGACATGTAAATCAAAAGGCAAAAGGTTCCAGATCTTTGTGAACCTTCCATCACCTGTGCAAAGCAGTCCGTATCTGCCTTCAATTCTTGCTTACTATTTCCCTTTTTAAAAAGCCATCTCATATAGTACCTTTTTTTAAGCAAATTTAAGGATCATCCAACTTTAACATCAGCAGACCAAGTACTCCACTTTACTGCTTTCATGTTTAGAATAATCCTTAATCCTGTTCATGTTTTTCAAACCCATATAAAACGGAATCAAGTGGCAAAAATGTTTTAGCAGCTGGAAATATACATACTGAATTCCACCCCCTGTTGGATAAACCAAGACAGAATAATAAAAACCAGTACGGTTCAGGGGAAAGCTTCGCAAGACCAGGAACATGTCAGAATGTGTGACACGTTCTGCTACATCATCTAGGACTTCCCAGCCTGATCATGTGCTCTACTGAAGCTATGGCCATTTTAGGTTTTTGCTAAAATAAGTTTACCTGTCTGGAGTTGCTCTTGCTGAAGATCTGATTGTTCTACTGGGTGAGGTTGATTGGAGAAACTCTGGTTGTAACTGGCCTGGTACTGATTTTGCTGCTTCAGGGTTTCTGGCTCATTAACAGGAGGAACAGGTGCATTCATGTTGAATACCTGTAACGTTAGAAAAATAGCGCTCTGGTTCATTTTTTACAATTCTTCATTGCATCGTGTAAAGAAGTATACAAGTCTGAGAAATGTGAATAACCAAAGACAAATACAAAATCATCTACTCTGGTTTGATTGGTAATAGATTAAATTAAACTATTTTTTCCCCAAGTCAACTCTGTTTTGCCCACGATGCTAATTAGTGCGTGATCTCTCCCTGCCCTTATCTCAACCCACGAGCCTTTTATTGTATTTTCTCTCCCCGGTCGAGCTGAGGAGGGAGTGCGACAGAGCAGCTTTGGTGGGTATCTGGTGTCCAACCCAGCACAACTACTTACTGTTTGCATGGATTGGAATGGAGCTGCGTTAACATTGATCCCGCTGCTATGCAAAGGCTTGCTAGATCCAGCCTGGAACACCTGTGGCTGGGATGCAGTGGGAAGTGATGATGATGATGGGGTCTGGTCTGCAGCCAGTGACATTGAAGCCTAATAATAAAAACAAATAACATTTTATCAGTTTTTGAGTAATACAAAAAATTTAACTTAAAAACTTGACTTTTTTTCAAAGTGACAACGCCTCAGGTTCACCTCAAGAAATGAGTATTTTCTACTTCAGCTGAACAGCCTCATTAACAACAGCATTAGGAGAGGAAAAATCAAGTAATCTTCTCCCCCATTAGCTTGAAACACAACTAGAAAGAACTAGAGGGAGAAATGAACAAGTTTCTGGGCTAACTGCTAGCCAGTGTAAAAAAAAAAAAAAAATCACATTTCCTAAGTCAACAACACAGATGCCGATACTGGCATGTTACTTCTAAATAAGCAGACAACCTAGTAAGTTAAAAGTCTTACTATGAAGGACTTACTGCTCACAGACAGGCTCAAAATTTTGAAATTAAACAGAAGTGAAGTGGCCCTATCAACAGATAACTAAAAATTAAAAAACTTTATTTACAAAGAAACACAGACTAACATTTGATTGCTCCTGCAAGCAGAGTCCTTCCCACCCCTGTGAAATCTGACTTGCCTGAATCTGGTCAATTGATTCTTTCTGTGGCCGTTGCTCTGTTGTGTGAGAAGGCTGATACATGGGTTGGGAGGCTGTATATCCCTCACTTGTAGAAGAAACCAAGGGAACCTGACAAAATAAACCCCAAAGCCCCCAAAAGTCAGCTGATGCTCACACACAGTTTTTATAAAAAGTATCAGAGAACTCTGGAATGAATGGTACTCTCTAGTAAAAGTATGTATTCCAGCAAATCTTTACAACCATTAAAAATTAAGTACTTTTTAACAAGTAGAGGTTTCACCACCTCATCTTGACATATATTCTAACATGTCACACCCACCCGCTCCCTGCCAGACTGTATTCTGTGGACATTTCTGTTCCTTATGCAACCCCAACTAGCATTACAATAAAGCTGTGGAAAGAGAGAGAGAGAAATACAAAGAAGTTTAAATGAGAGAACTTCAAGCTCATACAGAAATAGAGAAGTGCTGGTTTCCAATGGACAGAATTTGCTCATTTTACAGCCTCTGCTCCCCTACACAAAGTCCAGTGAAAACTCCAGCCAACAAAGCAGAGGACTTTGCATTTAAGGTTATTGGGGACTTTAAGAGGCAACTGACAACAAGTGATGGGTGTGTTCACATCACCTTGTTGAACATTCAAAAGGAGAGAGGTAAGTTTAGCTACTGCTTGCAAGATCCCCAAGAGAATCACTGGTAGCACTGGTTGAGGTAAGGAAAATAAGAAAAAAATCCACTGGAGTTAAGTCATAAACACCATTTAACAGTAAAATGAAAGCTAATGCAAAGAGAACTCTCTGACAAAAAAATTATTTGACACCTACAAAACAACAAAACTGCTAGGAGTACCAGCAATTCAGCAGGTACATCCAGAGGAAACTAGAAAAAAACCCACGTTCTTGTTTCTATATAAGTTAGTGACTTAAAACTTGCAGATCTAACCCGGACAAGATAAAGCAAGCAATTTATACTACCATTAGTCTGATAAACACTATCTATACTGATTTTTCTTTTGGTTTTCAAACACCTACAGGGATCAGATTCATTACTTGAGACCAGCAGAGTCCTTCAGAAATGCCACACATACTTCATATAAAATCAGGAAGTTCTTTAAACACTAGCCAATTCAGTACGAAACTGCCACAGAGAAACCTCAAGTTAAACTACTGTATGAGAGCCAGACTATCCAGAGCAGCATTCCAAACAAAGTCCTTCCTCTCAATCACGAAAAAACCCACTTAAAATTCACCACTGTCAGGTGGAATACAGATTTTACGTGACGGCAGCCTAACACACAGACGCATGGAAGTCAATTTGTGAAATGAAAATCACATTAACACCCCGAATTTTAGACTGAGGTGTGCTCCACAGACTGAAAGAACTGGTAACTGTGGACAAGTCCACACGGGGCCTTTAGAATGAGCAGTGCAAACTGCAATCGTTTCCGTGCTTGTGCCCTTCACTTTACGAGGCCCCTAATTAGAAATACAGTTTCCTCAATAAACTCACACTTCAACCTTGAACCCAACAGTTTTCCAAACAGGGTAATGCCTGATAAGACTTCATTACAGAAAATACACAATGGCTGCACAGCTTAAAGGCCGTGGATAGTAATGCTTGTAAGTGACAATGCTGAAGAGATAAAGGAGATAACCGATTTCCCAAAATCTGAATGTCAGCTTTCTCTTTAATTTCTCACATAGTTAAGGAATTAATTCCTACGATAACATCAGTCAAGACTTAAAATAAGTTTAAAATCCAAAAAATAAGTTACTAAACTTGTTACCTGTGTAGCTTCTGGTTGCACAGGAACTTGACTCGGCTGGGCAAGTCTTGACTCAGCATGAACTGAAGTAAAATAATGTCACTTATTACAGAGTACAATCAAACCTTTTACAGAACAGCATTACCAGCTTATCCAATTCTGCTACTTGAGAGCTCATCATCGTGAAGATGATTATGCCTTTGGTACAGCAAAATCATACTCAAAATACCAATTACCATTTCTGTGCAAAGTGCATTTTTTCCAGTTGTGCAAAATACTACAGCAACTTCCAAAAGTCTAAGAAAAACTATTTTGTCCATTTTTAAAAAGTTTAAATTGTTCCACATTTTCAAGCAAAATCTAGAAGCAAGCAAAAATTGGAAGCCTACAAACAGTATGCTTCAAAAGTATATCACATTTCTGAGAAAAACAAGCTTTAGGAGTGCCGTATTACTACTTGTGACGACCCCCTTACTATGTAGCAGTAACTGACGCATTTCTAACAGATGACTTGCAGGCTTGCCCAATATTTTACGTTTAGGATTTACCATTACAAACCTGGGGGGCAAACCATTTGTGGCATGTCCAAATTCTGTGCTGGATTCATAGGCTGTGCAGATACAATGGCAGGATCAAGTGTTTGGTTCTCAAACTCCAGCATAGAGTCCTGGGGGGGGGGGGAAAAAAAAAAATTTAAAAAATCATATCTATTGACTGTATTTTAAAAAAATTAACATTCAGAATACAGAAATGACCAGGCCAAAATAAAGTAAACTTAGTCCACAGCTACAGAATTGCTGGGTTCACCACATATTTTAGGTCATTAAGATACAAAAAATTCAAAAATCTATTTATCACATCAGAATTCAGTCCACACATACAAATTACAGCTTATCTGACAAAAAGACAACTGGAAGGAGATTTTAATGGCCAGACAGAGTAGGTGGTTATCTATTCTTTATCCTAAATTAGCACTTTGTAGGAAGAAAAAAAAAAGGAACATAAGAAGTGTATGCCTCATTTGTTACCAATGTGTCTACTTTTTCTTTGTGGAGGAGGAGGAAAGGCTTTTTCTGATGTATTCCATTATCTCCCAATGCATTTCTAGTTGTTCTAACTTCAGAGGTTAAAAGAGAGCCTTCAAGAAGCAATCCAGAAAGTATTCTCTTCACGTGGTAGATGTTTTTCATAACACAAAATTTAGAACTAGCTTACAGAAGGGTATTTTACAGCTGGTCCCACTTAAGCAGAATACACTACAGCACCCAGTGTTTCTTTGGGTCTAGCTTCACAGTGCCACAGTTGGTTCACCATACCTGCATGAAGTTATACGGGCCCTGCATCTGCGCCATAAGGTCCTGTACTCGCTGTCTTCTAACAAGAGGATCTGCTTGAGCCACAGAAGTGAGTGTGTGAGGTTCCGGAACCGGAGGAGATGTAGCTTGTGTCTGTTGCTGCAGTGAATTTACAACCTAACAAGAAACAAGCAACTGACTGAAATTTCAGCTTAAGATAATACTGCACAGAAGTGACTCAGTAGTTCTTGAAATTTATGGTTATTGCTTAATTCATTATGGATGTAACTACTACAGTGTCCTTGAAGAAAAACAGTACATCCTCCTACAGTCATGCCAATACTGGTGGCCAGCTACTGATCTGAGCAGTTCACAGGATGAGAAAGTTCAAACTGTGCTCTGTTTTCTTTCTATCTACTCTATTCCCCATTAAGAACAGCACTAACAAAATATTTCCTCAATATTATGGGGATGTTTTTAGAGTAGGATTTGAGACAAAAATTTATCAACATTTGGAAATCTGAAGAAAGACAGGGAAGACTACGTTTCAGAAATGCGCACACATGGAGAACAATTTTTTTCTCATATTTTTTAGTAAATGTAAGTAGAGTCAGAATTTATGGATCCTTCTTGACTTCAAAATTTCAAATTTTCATAGTCATGTCTAGACCTGAGTTCTCAAGTGCTATCCTAGCTAGATGATTTATGGTCTCGGAGCACAGCAGGCAACACTGCGTGACAGGAAGATTGCAACACAGAACCATGTGGGGACGCCAGAAGCACAACTAGAGTAGGCAAGAAAGCTGAGATTTACGAGACATATTCCAATATGGTGCACATAAACAAAGGTACAAACAGCAACATGCTTTCAAACACCACCTTATCAAAAGCAGCAGAGCAACCAGGAAAGCTGAACATGAGCATCTAAGAGTATCCCTCATCACAAAGCTTGAAAAAGACAGTTACAAGGACAGTCGAGCTGCATAAAGTGGCACTTTGGCATTCCTAACCGGTTTTGCTCTTTAGGCAACTCCTATAATACCGAAGCCCCATTTTCAGTTTGCACTCATGTCAATAACTGTCCTTTAAAAAGATCATTGTCAATAACTTGTCTACCACTTCTCTATTCCCATGAGCTTTTAATTGTTAATAATCTTCCACTTAAAAAGGTAAGCTTTAAACTTAAGAGTTGCAGGGGATGTAAGTTAGCACACAGGCACCTGAAAGTTCAAAATATTTATGTAAAAGATCTGATTTGTTATTAGAACTGCAGAAGACAGATTTTTATACAGCAGTCATGACAAGTGACAAAACAGTCCTATTTTAGACCAGTTCTATAATCACAGGTCTGAACTTTAAACTCGAACTCCCTCCATCTACCCTCAAAGGAGCCTGTAAATGACTCCAATTACTCTTTCCTTGGCCAAATCCCTAGCTATTTGTAACAGAAAATACAACATAAATAAAAACCTCTAAAAAAACCCCTAAAAAACAACCACAATCTACATCAGAATTCCCTTCAGATCCAAATCTCCACTATTAGCCATTGAAAGAGAAGCAATCTGACAGTTCCCATGAAGTATATCCTAAGGCTGTCCACACTGGAAAACAAACACAACTGCTCTGCTGTATTACACAGTCCCTAAACTCCAAATTACAGACTGCTTCCAAATTACGAATTAAGTCCTGTGAGTGGAAAAAAAAAAAATTTGGAAAAACTCATTATTCAAAAAGCAAATTATTATCTGACCATCCATCTCCAGTCATCATCTGGGCACAGCAGCAAGGTGAAACTTTTCTTCCAGGAGAGCTGAACCTCTCTGCAGATTAGTATTTGACTCATCAAATTGCACGCTCACCTTCTGACACCCTGCCTCCAGACACCCTGCCCCTTGACCTTCTCAACAGGCAAAGCTGCCCAGGCAAAACCAGAGAATGACAGGGTAGAGAAGGCCAGGGGGCAAAGGAGGAGGAAAGACAGAGAGGTAAAAACAGAAATTAATAAGACCACAAACCAAGCAGAATTAACTTGTATTCTGGCAGTCACAGAACAGAGCTTCCAATTCTGCACTAAATACACACACATCCATCCAACCCAAGTTCCATAATCTAAGACACAGAGAGCTTTGTACAAAAGCAGATTCAGAGTCAGGTGCCTATTACAAAGGAAGCAGTTAAAAACAAAAAAAAATACAACAAAACAACAAAAAATAAACAACAAAACCCCACCAACAACCCCCTCAACCAAAAACATAATCAACAACAAAAAAAAAACCCTAAGCAAAACCCCCAGTATTACCAATAAAGGACATCTTCACCAAAATTAAAATATCCTATAATCCAAACGAGAATACACTTTAAGAATTCACAAGCAAATTCTTCAGTTTCAGACTCACAGAAGGCCCACAGAGAAATGTCACTGTGAAACACCATCACATCTCAAGCTATAAACATAGCATACCACAGAAATCCTGAATGTATCACATCTACTCAAGGGTTACTAAGAGACAAGTTTGTGATAGACTTCCTCTTCATGAACAGCTATAGAAATCATTGTCATAAATGTTAGTCTTTCAGAATACTATCAGCTTCCAAAATTAACAGCTATTGTTCACAGCTCTTCAACACAACTACTTTGAGCTGAAGAGCACAAAAGCTCTATACAATGTGTATCATCTTTCCTAAGGACAATTCAGTTGCATTCCCATGAGAAATGGGATTTTGGTGCCACTAAGAACAGCAAGAGTCATTTCAAAGACGCTTATTCTCAATTTCCACTTTTTCTGTTAAACCTGAGAAAATAAGGTTCTTAATTACAAAGACGCAGTCTTCAACTCTAAATTTTTCTAAATTGCTCATTTGTGCATAGTCCAAGAAATTAGGACGGAAGGGACAACTGCAGTATATACTCTTCGTATTGTATTGTTCTGTGAAAACAAAGCGGATATAATCCAGATTTAGCTGACTAGTAAAGACGTATGGAAAATTACAAGTTTCTGAAATCTGTAATACAAGATTTCTCTATCTGTAATAGAAGATTACAACCTGAATTCTTTTACCACACTATTATTATTATTCCCTAGAGGAAGTGCTTGAGTTTTCAACTGTGCAATACACAGCCTGACAGTTTAAGAGCAGAGGGAAGCACACAGGCTTCCATCATAAGGACACTTCCTATACTCTCATGTCTTCATCCATACTAACTACAGAGAACTGCACCTCTAAGCTACTCTGGACATTTGGTAGAAAGACAGATGTAATTGGGGTATAATTCAAGACAGGTTTAAGCCAATCAAGCATTAACTTTAAAAATAGTGTCTTGTAAGAATACCCCAATCAAGCATGACTTTAATGTATGATTTTGGAGGGTTTCTTCCGGGTTTTTTTGTTTTTTGTTTTTGTGGGTTTTTTTTTTTTTTTTTAAGAGATTTCTTAAATCACATTAAACAGCAGTGATATTTTGGGGTTTTTAAGTAAGGGAATGGAATACTATGATGAGATACTACAAAAATCACTCACATCCATATCAAAGTTTGTCTAGTTAGTCCTAGAAACCTCACACCCATCCTAAGTATTATTACATCTCTTAGCAGTCTTCAACATCATCCAATATGAATGTTAGCCAGACTGAATGTAAAAAATCAGGCAGATTAGATAATCAGATCAAAATCCCTGCTCTCTTCTTCACCACTTGAAGAGATGAACACTTACTCTGCTCCTATACTTAAAAGAGCCTGAAGACACCAAGGAGGACAGTCTGAAAAATTAACCATCGGTAATTTGGTGCTGCAAAGGGCTAAGGGAAATCAACAATTAAGCCTCCAGCTCCTGAAAGATGATGCTCATACCTGTTCCCAACAGATGGATGCAACTCAAGTTCCAACACATCAAACATTTCAACGACTCCACGTGACTTGTCCTTTCCAATACATGAAGAACACAAATTCTAGTATATTAAAACGGACTTGCACAGGTAGCCGTCTAAATTACTAAACTGGGAATGGATCCCAATAGCAACGTGCCACAAACATCACAAGTGAACAACCACTCAACTGCAAAGCAATAACAAGTTAGAAACTTGAACTATATCTCTTGAAAGCAGAGATGTACAAACAGACATATTTTAACATTATGTGTATACACAACCTGGAGTAGGTGTTAGTTGAGATACCAATTTTCAGCTCCCCTCTCCGTGGAACTGCTCAATGAAATGCACAACTATGGCATGCTGTCAGCCGCCGTGCAGATAAACTTAAGTTCTATATTTGCAGCAAAGTGTTCTTAAAACAAAGTCTTCAAAAAAATCTTTTCAGTCTTCTTAAGCGTTAAGACTTTTCAGTCCCTTTTTCCCAAGCAAGCCACTACTGAACAAAAGCAAGTTCTCCACAAACTTAGCCAGACTATGTAGTTTTTATTTTAGGTACTCCTGAGCTAAACATGTAACTGAAGAGTAGCAAGTCCAAGCCTACTTAAATATATGTATTTTTATATATATCGCGGGAGAAGGGGAGCAATACTAAAACCTATCAGGAATTGTGAGTCAGCGGAAACAGGGATTGCAATTTTACCTGCAATACACAAGATCTTACCTCAACCGTTTCAACTGTCCACTCATCTACCTGTTCCTTCTCACTACTGCTGAACTGAGTCTCTGCCATGAATTGTCTGTTTACATACTAAAATAAAAATAAGAAAGGGTATGAAAGTAAAAGTAAATGGCATTAAAGCTATACAAAATGACAATCTTTCCAGTGAATAATACCTCAGTTGATTCAACTTCAGTTGGTTCAGTAAATTCTTCCACTGGATCAGGTTCTGTAAGAAAAATACACCATTTATGTGAAGAAGGAAAAAAACCAAACCAAAACAAAACAACCAACTCTGACACCCAAACCCCATGTTACAGATCTAGAAGATGGAAAAATCTCTCCCAATAAAAGTGTAATTTTGAAGAAGTGTGATGCATTTTTGTAGGAGTCATTTATCAAAAGCATTTAAAGTGTTATAGACTACTACTACATGTGAAGTAGAGCTGGGTATAAGGATGAATGGACACACATTTACTCCTGAGTGACATTAATACCGAATATTAGAAGCTTGCTATATATTGTTAAGGCAGGAGTCACCTTGTCACTTCTTCAAGGGGGATGGGATTTTGATTAGACATGAAATTAGAGCCTCAAAATTACTGACTTGCACAGTTAAGTCTCTGCTGAGTTCAGAAACAACCCTAATGTAACAAGGTAGATAAAGATGAAACTTGTGTCTCAGAATGAAGAAAATAAAAATGACAGGACATTAATAGAGAATTAAGCAATAACAAGGATTTCCAGAGTTTTGAAATAAAATTAAAAAATATCACATTAAATTCCTGCTATGAAGAGCTATGTTTAGTTACCCCAAATTTCAATTTTCTCCACAACATATTCAAAAGGAAAAAAAAAAAGTCACTAATCTTCTGTTCAACTTTGGTACCATATACTCGAGTTTCTTAAGTATGTAAGCATACTCTCTTCTTCAAAAACTCTTCCCTTCTAACAAAGGATTAAACTGGTGGAACCACTGAAAAATGGAAAAGCCTCACGCAACCAGAACTTTAATCTTTGATCATTTTAATACTACAGACAAACAAAATTTTATTTTAAAATCATAATGAGAAGCTCTACAGGAAAACAAAATATGAAAGAGATGTTTGGCAATGATTTTCATTTGCATAAACCTGCTTCTAAATAATTTCCTTATTAGCCTGGGTTGTTACTTCAGCAAGTGACATACAGGACAACTGCTGAAAGAAGTGTTCAAAACCAAGTACTACTAAGTGACTTTGTTCCTTCACTCAGCTGACACTCCACAGTTAGAACAGTAAGGCTTTCCTCGCGCATGACGGAAGACATTTACGATGTGATCATTAGATAGGATTACTGCCTCCCCAAACGAGTAGCTGGCAAGAGTCAGCCTTACAGAACTCCTCTGGAACACAGCTCTGCTCTTCTTTCCTCATGGCTCAGAGCAGAGCTGAGCAAGTGGCTGACAGCCCCTATATATGTTGGCTGGTTGGATGTATAACTGATTATCAAGAAACGACACTGCTATTCAAAGCACTAGTACACCTGGAGAATTCAGAGACAGGTGCTTTTTGTGCTTAAAATTGCATTTGCAATTTAATCATTACGTTGAATCCAAAGAGACAAGACAGTGCAACACAAACAAATATGCTAGTCTCAAGGGATCTTCATATTTTTACCTGCTTCTGCTACAGTGTCTTCTACTGCAGGTGCGGGCGCTGCCTCTTCTTCCTCACATAATCCATTCTGATGGTTATGGGTGCTGTCGAAGTAACTAGTTTGAAGAATACGTTCAACAATCTCCTTCAGCGCTTTGTCTGGGAAAATGAAAGAAGGTACAGATTACCAATAACTCAGTACTAATAATCTTTTCCTTCCTTCCCAAGGATCTCACATAAATTTTATTATCCTTTTGCTGGGAAGATGATGTTGCCCCAAGCTAGTCCACAGACACTACTGTTACAGAATTTCTTCTGTCTTACCAGTCATATTAAATAAATCAAATAACCCACTTCTGTCCAGAAAAATCTGAAGGGCAAGGAGAATCTTACAAGTATATAAAACTCATTTGTGAAATACTTCAAAGCAAGGTAACGTTTATGGATTTAATTACCATACTTTTATTCCTGCTCTTTCAAAAATCTCTGGTTTTTGGATTGTGAAGTTCTAGAAACTCAATGAAGTTTCAACTGTATTTATTTCTAATTTCACAATTAAAAACACCTTACTGTAAGTCAATATCTTAAAAAACAACTGTCAGTCCAAACAAATTTACACAGGTACCACCTTCATGAATGTTCTTCCCCTGAGGTGAAGTGGCTCAAAACAGCCTTTGTAAGCAGAACAAGCACAAGCTTGCACTCAGTGCCTCAGATGAACGCTGTGGCATCTTAAACCAAAACAAACCAGCCACATGGGCCAGGCAGCACTAATGAATGTCTAGGTCAACAAAAACCAAAACAGACTCAAAATGGAAGATTCACAATGCACGTCTGGCACATAATAATCACTGTACGAATCAATATGTACACACAGAAAAGCACAGAAATCCATTAACATTCATCCCTACTATGAGAGAAAGCAAACCAGCAATTGCTGCAAATGACATCACTACAAGCTCATCCTGAGATCCAGATACAACACCCAGCCTGACTTCATCCCATCAGAGAATGACTAGCTCTCCAAGGAGCAATACTGTCATTTCACTTCCTATGGATAGAACACAAAAAACTCTTTTGAAAGCTCAGTATTACTCTAATATAACAAGGATAAATAGTTTTCAGTTTTGTTTTCTAAAAAAGGCAAAAGTTGTTAGCCATTTTACCTACAAAAAAAGATTATCGCCCCTAAAACTTTCCTATTAATTTCCAGTTAAGAGACTTCAAAAATTCCCCATGATACAAGAAACAGACAACTGCCTAGCACAGCCATTTTCTTAAGGTCTAACGCTGGCAGTCATGTATTTGTGAAAATTTACACTTCTGCAAGAAAGCAGTCCATCTCGATGATCACACCCCGATTTACAGAGTTAATCTATCAAAATAGGGCAAAACCATAATGCTTTTTGCAGGAGACAAGGGGGAGCAGAACATCACACTAAATAAGGCCATGCCAGTTTATACTATTGACAAAGCTCCTCATTCACCCACACATTTCCAGAAAACAAAGAACTGCTACTAAGCACCACCAGCAGCAGAACAATGCTGAAATAGCAGGAACGGTCTAAGCTTAAATACCAAGCAATGTTGCATCAGTAAAAAAAAAAAATACACTACACAGTTAAGTTCACACTTAAGTAGGTTATTCTGTTACAGTCCAGCTAAGATCTGAAAAAAGTAGCTACTCTAAAAACTTAGTTAATTATCTTTATCAGACACTGCATTTTAGTCCAAGCACAAATTCAGTGGGCTCTCTCTTAATACAGAGACTATACTCACATGTTGTTCCACAAACCGGTTTTTCCTTCCCTTCCAGTAAATCCCACAGGTGAACAGACGCTTGCTCATACTGCTCATTCAATCTTTAAAAAAATAATAAGAGTTAATTTCTTACCAAGTCTTTCAATTGCCACAGTACAAATATATCACTAACCAAACGACAGTTATAAAGAATAAGTGCTTTACTGTAAGCCTACCTCATGCTCATGTCTCGTTCAGGGTAAACTAGCTTGTAAAACTCATCCAGCATTGTCAGTTCCTCCTCTGTCAGTACTGGCACTCCGTTTGATCCTTGCTTCAAGTCGTTGCGCACTTCATCATCACCCAACTTGTCCAGAATAAACTGTAGTTCTAATACAGTTTTCAAACGTTTCTGTTCAGCTTCTTCTCGCATCAGTTGCTCCCTGCGAGCTGTCTTTTTTATTGTTTTCTGGATCTGTTTAAAATGAAAGGCAATTTTAAATTGCTTGAACTTGGATTCTGTAGTGAACTCAGGGAAAAAAAAAAAAGATTTGAAATGTCTTTTATTGGTATGCAGAGATGGATCTTGGTGTTGAACTGCCACTTATCAATTTAACATTACAGCAGAATAACCTAGGAATTTTGAAGAATATCTTTTAAGCAGAGACAAAAGCCTGCAAATTAAGACAAACTTTAAAATCAGTGCTACAGACCTTGGATCATATTGGACCTTGATCATATTCTCACTTGAAGTCTGTACTTCTCTGCATGACTTACAAGGAGTTCAGTCAAGTAACTGCAGTTACCCTGTCTAAAGTTTTAGACATTAATGTGTTATCTGAAACAAGCCCAACCTATTATCTGCTTCCTTTATGCATTATTCTGTAAACACTGAGTGATTTTGATCTAGATGAAAATGGCAAAAATGTGTAAAATTAAGTACCTTTCAAACTAACACTGTGGTTCTTTACAGCTGCTGGCTTCCATAACTCAAGGAGGACTTAGAGCAATTAGAAAAGGTACAGAGAAGGGCAACTCAACTGATAAAGGGGACAGAGCAGTTGCCTTATGAGCAGAGTCTAAGTCTTGGGTTCTTCAATTTGGAAAAGTAAGGGTGATCCAGATTTTTCATAAAGGCCACAAAGGCCAGCAGATAACATGGACACAGCAGTTATTCACCATACCCATGATAGTGGGAGGCATTCACCGAAACTACTAAGAGATCAGCTTAAAAGAGATACAAAAAAGTACTCTTACCACAGGAGAGAACTCATGGAATGTTTTGCCATGAAAGGCTGGTAAGATAGTATTATCAAGTTCAAAAAGGGTTTGAACAAATTCTTGGACACAAGGTCCACAGATAGACCCTGAAGGGAACAGGAACGTATATACTCTCTAACAACTTCAGTTGAAGATCACAGATGCTGGAAGGGGATGGGTGACAGATAATTATCAAATTTGTACTCTACATGTACTTCTACAACTGCTGTCATAATAGTGGTCTAAATGCATCACTAATCTGAACCTACAATCTACTTCTTCCATTCTTAATCCAACCATCTAGCACCCAAAATTCAGCTTGCTCTCTTTGTAACTCTACAAAGCTTTTACAAAAAACATAACTCATAACAGTAACTTTCTCCCTCTGAAGCACCTAAATTTCTTTTTTAAAATCAAAGACTTATCTTAAAATCAACTGTGTAAGAACTAACTCCAATTAGGAACAATTGCAACTAAGTTTGAAAGCAGAGCACCAGTGGATTACTCCTGGATTCACTCGCTTTTTTTAGCGGTCAGCTGACCAGGGAAATATTTCGGGACAAACTTGTTAGAAGAAGAAAGCTCTTCACTACTAACATTTCATAAACATATATGGCACCCTGATGCAAGAAAAGCAAAGAAACAGCTTGGCTTAGAGGTCTCTAAATGTACAACCACATCAAATGCAGAAAGGAGTTTATAATGTGAGGATGCTGATGCCCTTCCAATTATCACAGTCTGTTCACAAACTAAATACACTCGTTAGACCAGTCTGCTGCACTAACATCCATTACACAATGAATTCTACCAATGCTGCTGCTCTTTCCATAACTGTATTACTGCACTTAGAATCTTCCGGTCTTCCAATCGGTTATGCTTTCAGTCTGCCCCAGAATTAATTCTTCCTTGCAATGATAGTGCAGAGGTCTAAAGTGTGTCATCTTGTTCGCAGCTCTTGGCACAAGAAACAAAGCAAAGCTGTCCATATAACTGGAACTGTCTATTAGAGTTTTAGAACTTATTCTTGATTACACTGTTATTTTACATCCTTAACAAAACAGCAACCTAAAAGATTACCTGTTTTACTAGTATTCAGTTAACTTATCCTTTATGAAAACAGTATCAATCCTGTCCCATACTGTAGTTTCAGACTGTACTCGCAATTATCAAGACAACAAGAATCTTGAAAAAGGAACTGCAACACTTTCAGTTCCTGAGAATTCATACCCTACGGTAATATGAAGAGACAAAAACCCTCAGTCTCTTGCCAAAGAAAGAAGCAGGCCTGTGAAAGCTGTCTTTTAAGAAAATGTAACTATTGGCAGTAAGTGGCTGTCTATACCATTGCACGACAGGCCTCTTTTGCAATCACATTTTCAACACTCACGTTTTGTGAGAAAATTCTTTTTGTTCCCATACATGTATGTAGTTAATCAAAAAAATCTTTAGGAATAGTCTTCAGAAAACCTAACACATACCAGTACAGACTACAAGAAAACAGCCAAACATACAAGAAACGACGTGCATTTCGTCTTGTGTAAATAGAGGTGACTACTGCCTCTAGTATTGGTGAAAGAGTTTAAAGCCCAAGTGTTTGGTATTGCAGCTGATAGCCCACATTACACCACTTGCTCTTTACTTACATCTTGGCTCAGTGCCATAAAACTCCTCTGCAGTTCTTTAGCAAATTCCAGATTATTTGTCACTTCCTGGTATTTTGACACTGCATCCTTAAAAAAAGTCCAAACAAATCCAAAAGTAAACCATCACACATAGAACAAAAAACATTACTTCCAACAAAAAATCCAACATATTTAGTTCATGCTCACACACTTGACATAGTAGCTTAATATGTGGGCTTGGCCAGCTTCTGACAAAAACCAACTTGCAAGCTAAGGGAATGGGGGAGAAGAGTAATCTAGCAACTCCAAATTGCTTAAGAGACAAAGATTAGAGAATTAATGCAATGTTACCTTGAGTCAGTAATGTTCCCTTCTCCAGAAATCTTTATTATTTGCTACTTCCTTAAATCTAACGTTCTGATGTGCACCAAAGCAATACAAACTCCTTAAACTACCTTGCAGTACAGAGAAACTACAGAGTCAAATGGCTGAGACATTTACACTACTGCTGTGACAAAATTAATAATGGGATATGCTCTTGAACAATTGAGACAGAAAAAGGTGCTACTTTCTTTGAAAAGGCACATGAACTGTATTTGCTTTTTTTTTCCTTAAGGATTTCTGTTTGTAATACTGTTAACTAAGAAAATACACATTAAGTGATTCACAAAATTCATCATTCTTAGTTGATTTGTAGAAGCAGATGATGTAAATGAAAATACTAAATATTTTCAGCATTTCCCCCCAACTAAAAAAAGATTTTTATGAAGTGTGGTACTCAGGCTGTGCTCTTCAGAAAACTCAGTTAATCAACATCCCCGCTCAATATGAAATTTCAGTTATCTTCCCTGCCCATCAAACAGAAAGCTACCCATGGTTTATTTTCACAATATGCCATTAAAAAATAGAAATATATAGACCAGTGATATTTCAGTTGGCATAGAATAACCAAAGCAAAGCCTAGACAGATGAAAAGATCACACGGATCTTTCGTAATTGTGAACAGCTGCAACAGTTGAAGGGTACTTCTTTTCCTTCACTCTTTTCAATCTTAAGAATTATGATTAAAATATTGTTGATTACTGAGCATCTGGTAGTCTCTTGAAGTATCAATATGCATGTTTGCATCATACAACTGAATTTGATACTTGCTTTATATTTATTACAACTGCTGTTGAGTCAAGCTCTACAATAACCTACTTTAAGAGCCAGCCCCAACAAGGAGAGAAGCAGCATACATCCAGTAAGTCCAGCTTATCTAGAGTGTCAACATCTGCTGCACCCGTAACTGTGACATACACATGGTCACCAGTTATTTTGAGAGCCCTTCAGATCTTGGTCTATATTACAGCTCTAACTAGACCACACAATATTCACAAGCTACCACCAAGCGACTAAGCTCTTTAAGTTCTCCTTGGGCACATTTTCTGCAAAGAAAAGGATGATGTCCAGAGAACCTCCATCATTTAGCTCTTTCAACACTCCTAGGTTCTAACATACGCCAATCTTTCCCACAGCTGATTTACAACCTAACCTCAACAAGCATAAAGCATTACAACACAACCCTCTACCTATTCTTTCAGTTTCTGATTAACAGAAAAATTGAGATGTTCTCAGCAATAAAAAACTGAGGTCAAGTCAGAGCTCAGAAAAATCTAGTTTTTTACAAGGGGAAAGCGGAAGTGAAATTCATCCCTTCCTTCCCCACCAAGGTCACAAAACAATAAAAGAGATCTGGTTTGGTTTTTTTTTTTTCCATTTTACCAGTTGGTCTTGATTCAGACGTTCTCCCTTATTCATTCGTTCCTGGTAATCATCAAGTTTGCTCTGAAAAGAAAGAAAAACGCTATTATGAGAAGCCAGCATCAGGTTAGTGCTTTTTTCTACTTGTGCTAACACAATTAGGTCGTGCGATACTACAGTAAACACAGACTGTAACACATTACACAAGCACACAACTGTCATGTAGAAACAGTACCCAAGAACACTTGTCTTCTGGGTTAAAAAGATGTAGATACTTCCCCAAGACATAAATATTTTAACATTCCTTGGCTATCAGAATACATCTTCAGGACTAGTCTTAATTTCTGAGGAAATACACATTCCTCCTAATGGGGAGAGCACTCTCAATGCACATTTCCTTCAGTCCAAACAGCAAAGAGCTAAACTCAGTTCTGAGTCAGAGCATATTACCTACAACACCAAAAACACGACTGCAAAAAACTACTGACAATGCTATTAAGATTCAGAACTTTAATTCTTTGTACTTGCATCAGTTGAGATACAGAATTTGAAAGAGTTTCTAACCCTCTGTGCACAAATGCCTGCCAACACAATTAATATTCATAGCTCTAAAATATTTTGTTCAAGAGCATTAAGATTTCTTTTTCATGGGCAGAAACTGAAAAAGGAACCACTAGGTTAATTTTCAGCAGGCTCAGTTGTCTAACCTGCAAAAACAGTTCTCTAATCTGCTTCAATACAAAACCACACAAAACACTGATATTAGGCAAAAGCAGGTAAAACGTATACATGTTGGAAGTGACAAAAACTCTACAAGTAGAAATGTTCTTAGAAAGGAAGCAAAGTCTGTAAAAATAACAAATAACTATTAAGCTCTAAGTTTGCAGCATTTCTGTATTATCACATTGGCTAGTATTTTTTATTATATTTGCCTTGGTCTTATTAAAAGAAAGCCATTAAAATGAATCCTTATCTTCCCAGTCTAGCACAACAACATGAAAAGGAAAGTAAACAGAAACACTTCATTTTGAATGTAAAATAACTAAAATCCTGATGCAACCACTGTTTCAGAGTTTATAATTGTCACAGACTGAGAGGGGTTTTTTTGTTGGTGGTGGTCTCTGGTTTTTACTATTTTTGTTTCAGGACATTTCAGTTAAAATATTTTACTGACATTTTTTCTAGGTAATTCAACTTCTGCGCTCAACCTCAGACTTCTGGAAAGAGCAAAGTCTGTAAAACAGATTAACAAGAAAGCTCCTCTTACAAAGGATATGATGACCAGCATCGCTCACAGAAACATAATCACCCTTATCAGACTTGGTCCTTTTGATGTCACCTAGCACCAACAGGTTATTTCTTTGGAAATCCTACAGGTTAGATTTAACACTTTACTACTTCATCTTTCAGTGCATCAGAGCCAGTAATGGCTTAGGCAAAGCCAGTGAAGAAAGAACCTCCTGAGCTCCAAATATATATTACTGGGAATTTCATGCTGGGGACAGACACTAGCAGACTAATAGCTGTCAAATGCAGCAGCCACACTTGGTAATATATCAAAAAAATTCCCTTAAAGAGCATTTGGCATATTGGAAATCTATCACAATGCAATTAAGGTCATTTTACTCTTACACATACTAATTTTAGAATAGATGATGACACGGTTGGACAATCACAAAAGTAGTTTTAATGATTTAGATATGGTAGCTGAGCTGTAAAGTCAAAAAGAGAGTGTAAACAGCTCAAACACTGCAATGCCCCAGTGCAAAGCCAGCCAGGTTACCTGAAGCCTCCACAGCTTAAGGTAGCTTAAATCCTACAACGAACTGGTTTACAGACAAATTTCTAAACGTTCCTGCTTGCTCAAGCCACCTACTCCCATGGTGCAGATTACAGTTCCCTTGGTCACACTGATGCAATTGTTTGTGAGGCTGCACAGCAAACAGACTTCTCACATGAGCCAGTTTAAACACTGTCTACAAAAATGCATTAAAGAACTCCCAACGATTTCTGTGATCCAGTTTCCAACACAAACTCATAAACAACAGCAAAACAAAGAGGATAGAACATCAAATTCTAGAACACTACTTCTATCAGCTTTGTTGAAGAATACATTGCAAATTATGCTGCAAAACACTCACACAATCCATTTTGGTGGCTAAGAGCCTAGGGGAGGGAAGAGACAAAAATACCCTGAACAACTACAAGTGTTTCTGCGTAGTTTTTCCATGCAGCCCTACTTCAGCATCATTGGTATCTCCAGATTAAGCATATTGCAATAACATATTCAAACAGTGCATCAGCTTTTCTTAAGTGGTCAAATATTCTTGAGCTCTAATGCAAATGCTTTGTTCATTTTCATTCAGCAATACATCAACTAAAAAACAAAGGGAAATACATCTTTGTCTAACCATTAGAAGTTACTTCTCTTCGCTTTTTCTTCCTTAAAAACATCCCTATCAGAACGGTAAAAGCAAAATAAGAGAGCCCTTTCAGCTGCAATGCAGAGGACAAGCAAATGTGTATTCAGTTATATGTTAACATAAAGATTTCAAATGCCAAGTAAGCACTTTTCTATCATCCCAAAGACACTGTAAAATACAAATGCTGCATTACACAAAAATATTAAGGAAACAAAATGCTTTCTTTTTAATCTGTGCTGTCAACTAACTGCAATCTAAGAGCAGCATTAGTGCTGTAAAATAACTGCAGTACAATTCCTGCTTAGCAACCTACTGCAGTGCCTGGAAGAAGTAAAGATTTTCTTTATTTTACCCCCCCCCCACCCCTTACACAACTTCATCCTCACTCATCATGGATATACATACTGAAGCAGAAAAGCTACACCAGCGGGGATAGGGGGGGCGGAAATCAAGTGGCAAAGTGAGCACGTAAATTGTCTATTAACCAGCTCATGAGTCAGCAGAGCCCAGTTCTGCAGATAGCAAGTCACTGTGTTTCAGCTCTTTTTGCACAGAGATAACTGAAATGTTTCGGAGTTCCCTAGGAGAAAAGCACTACACAGAGGCTACTGGGGGGGCACAGGGGAAAGGTGGTGGTGTTCATTGCTTAAGTACGCCCTAGATTTTACTGTAATAAGAATCCAAAATTGAGTTACTTTATTACAGTAACAGACACCTTCTCCTCACACTCAATTTCTCATTACCTTCCTGAATTGCCTCAAAAATGTTAGCATAAAGTGAAAAAAAAAAAGTAGTTCTATGATACTAGCTTCAGAAGCAATACTGGTTTTAAAAATGCCTAACCACTCAGCTGTGCTGCTACAGTCACTTACAGTGCTATGTTATAAACTGGATCACTGGAATATCTGATTAAAAATAACCCTTAAAAAGGGGGGCCAGGAGCAGGAGGGAGGCACTATATTTAACCAGATCACTCCAATGGTGTGGTATATACCAGTTACAGGGGCACAAGCATGTATGATGAGCTGCAAAGCAGAAGAGGAGAAGGTAACCTCTTCAACCAGCTGAAGTAAATACTTTGCAATGCACACTTCACTATAAGCAAAGAAAAGACAGAGGGGACTACTGCACGTCTGTTTTCTGAGATATCAAATAGCTGCATTATACATTTCCCACTGAAGCAGAAGAAAAGCCAAGCTAGAAACCAGAAGTTTATTAACCTGTTTTACATTTTTACATTGTAATTTATTCACCCTTCACCATAATCTCCACACTCATTCATCAATTTAACTTCTTAGCAAAGGTTGCCCAGAAATGACTAAAAGAAAAAAAAAAAGGAAGAAAAAGAGGTCTTCCCATTTCCTAAGGGGGGGGGGAAAAAAAAAAAAAGGTAAAACACTTAACCTGTACCAGTTTAATGAAACACAGAAGTTCAGAATCTCTCAGAAAATGCCACAGTTCTCACATTCACGGTCTGGGTATACTTCCAATCGCATATACACTCCCACCAAGTCCCAAAAAGTTGTTTCAGTCCTGAGTTACAACCAGGAAGATGCAATGAAGCATTAACATCAATACTCCAGAACACAAAACACTTACAGGTCTTCAGTTTAAACAGAATTTATTTTTCGAATAACCATTGTAAATATTCTTGTGGTTTTACCCCAGAAATCTGATAAATTTCATAGTTTAGAAAAAAATATATCCATGCTCTCAGTTTTTAAGTGAGTGACAAAGACATACCGAGACTGCAGCCTCACTATCAGCTTACCCCAGAGGACACTGATGACAAAAGGGGTATTCTGCTCACTGCTTGTTCTTGACCCTTCCCACACACCACCAAGGACAGCCACATGGCCAGAGTGACAGCTGGGTCAGCAGCCCGATCCAGCCAAGGATGGATAGCAAGGAGAGACACAAGAATGGCCAGGAGCAGCACCAACTCCTTCCCAAACCAATGCAGAGCTGATGGATATGTGCCATCTTCAAAATGTCAACCTTTCAAACTCCCATGAGTTGACTACAGAGAAAAAAACCTGCTTCTTCAGTAACCTGAACCAAGTTAAACCACAGATGAGTGAAACTCCTGAAGTTCTGGTGGCTCTATCTATATGTTCTCCTTCCACATCACCATACAGTATTTCCTATAGAAACACTATGAATCTACAGGTAAACTGACTACGCTGCAAGAGACCTAGATTTTATTCTACACATCATTTATGTTCAAAATGAGTTACTTGTACAACACCAAGTGAATTCCAGGAGACAAGTGGGGTTCCAGAACACAAACTGGGCTCTCCCAACACATTCTGTGTATCTTTTTCTGAAAGAAAAGGAAACATTCAACAAAACATTAAAGCAGCATCTGAAAAACTGAAATAACCAGAAGATCTTTCACAGCTTGTAGGACTCATCATGTATCTTGTTAAGAGAACTTGCTATGAGAAATAATCCCTATGCTACATAAAACAGCTAAAAACAGAGCAAGCTGAAATGAGGAAGTAGCAAACACCAAGTAATTCCACAAATAAACCTGGTTGTTTTTTGAGATGAAGCTTGATTATCCAAAATTGCTATCAAAAGAGGCTTCAAAGATTCAGGCTTTCAATATACAGTTTCAAATTAATTTTACAACTTCTTGGTTTCAAAATGTTTCATCTC